AATATTACATGTAAAATGTCATTTTAAAAATTGTTTGAAAGATGATTGTTTTGGATTTCTTTTTTTATGAAATTCCCCTGTTTCCCCAGTTTTAAACCATTTCATGGGGAACAAATATCACTGTTTTTTATTTAAATAAAATTATATTACCCCAATTGTTCCTACCAAACATCGCTCCATAAAATGTCACTTGGGTTCAGAGTTCATATTGCAATCTCTTTTTCCAGCAGCAGAATGTTTCATTTTATTTGGTAGGGGGGTTTAAAACTTTTCCAAAAATTAAAGGTTACTTATTAAGAGTTTTTTTAAATAAATTAATAACAAATCTTTTGACATTCATTGAACTTTATTTGCTCTGCTTTTCAATGAATTAGCATCCATAATAAAACCAGAAAAATCATAGAATTTTTTCAGCTTGAAATCCCCTTGCACCAATTGAAGTTGGGCTTACTGCTAGCATTCAATGATCTCTAAAGTTTCTGAATTATTACTGATCATACAATATGGATTCTACAACCAAAAAACGTCCACCTTCATTTAAAATATCAATTCCTGGAGATGACCAAAAAAAAATGAAATACTTTCTCTTCTTCATAAAGCAAGAGATATTTTAGTGAGACAGCTGAATCATCCTGTAAATAATGCAGAGATCTTAGAAAAGGTTTTGAAAACATTCTTAGAGAAATATGACAGAGAAGATGAACAAGCAAATGTGGCTATGGAGACCTTGGACTTGAACACATACATTCAGGTACAGGAAAAGGATTCTAACCAGAAAATTTTCCTTACTGCAGAATCATCACTAAGACGTTTAGTAAAAGTGGTGGAAAATCATTCCAAATTCTGTAATGGTGATCTTTCATTAAAAAAGATTACCGAAAAGGGACATGTTGCTGCAGCAAGATTTAATTGTAGAATTCAAAAACATCATAGCCTTTTGTGGTCTTCATCTCCATACTTACCAAATAATGAATATTTGGTGAATAAAAGAGTTATTCATGGATTTGCTTGTAGTGGAATGTTGCCTGTTCATTACGTCAGATTTTCAAAGGGAGCTAAAATTGGTACCATCAACCAAAGTAATCGTGACAAATGCTTACAGAATATCTATCCATTTATTGAATCAGAATATGAAGACAGTATTAACATTGCGCTTTGGGGAGAAGTAGGATGCAGCGATGATGACAGAATTAACATCATGACAGATGCTCGGCATGGATGGCGAAAAAATGCCAAAGACTCAAGTGTTGTGGCGTTAGGAGAGAAAACACACCAAGTAATAAAGTGTGAACATGTCACCAAAGTGGACGATCCAGTATCTCAAAGACACGAGAAACTTGGAACGGAGAGAATCTACAACTATCTTGATGAGCAAGGTGTTTCAGTTGATGTTCATATCCATGATCGAAATATCTCCATCAATAAATTTGTTCGAGAATTAGGAGGAACAACGAATCAAAATGATACCTGGCATGGAGTTAAAAGTATTAAAGAGAAAATGAAAAAAATTTCAAGTGGACCAGCATATCAGAAGGGGAAAACTTGGTCTGAATATCTATATGATAAAGTTGAGCCAGTTGCCACTCACTGCCACTGGGCAATTAGAAACTGCGATCAAAATCCCCAAAAATTACAAGATCTCCTTTTGAATATCATTGAACATTATAAAGGAAATCATTCTGATTGTCATCCTACATCACGGTGCAAAACAGATCCAAATTATGAGCCATCAAGACTTGTAATATGTGATAAAGTGTCAGAAAAATTGTTACGTGGTGTAATAACTAGTTCAAATTTGTATAGATACCCACAGGATTATGTACTTGCAAAGGATACATATTATGTAGAAAGTTTCCACAATACTATGAACATGTTTCAGGACAAAAGAATTGCATTTAGTGACAAGGGATACAGAGCGCGATCAAATCTAGCAGTCTGTCATTGGAACGAAAATGTGGACAGAGAGTTCACCTCTGTATGGAATCCACCCAGAGCAAATGCTCCACGAAGTAGAAAAGGAAAAAAGATCTACAAACCCCCTACATTCAGCTACAGAGAAAACATCTGGAAAAGACAAATATCTGCACTTTTCACTTAAAGTTGAATCATAAATGTCTTCAAATAAGTAATTTATAAAATATACAGTGAAACAGATATTAATTATAAATATTTAAAAAATCTTGTAAGATCAAGCAGTTTTTTTTTATTCAGGATTATTTAGTAAATTGAGCCCTCTAAACAAAGTGATTCTTTACACTGAAAGAAGAATATCGTCTGCTAGAGTGCACGTGTAGATTGTAGCATGTGGTAATGTTTGTGTGACTGATAACAATTCTAAATTTAAACTGCAGAGGAGTGAGCCATGCCTCCTTGCCATATATGCTTAATTGCCGTCGGGGTGTAAAATTTTCTAGGTCACTACCGGCCTTTAACCTTCGCCATTAGCTGCCATCCGGGGGCATCAGTGTTTCACAAACACATCTTGTTAAAACACGTTTTTATTCAACATTCAAACATTTTTTAGTCTTGATGAGTAATTTCGTATGCCATATGTCAATGTCTGCAAAGAAGAGGAAGAGATAATGCAGATAAATAAGACAAGGTTTAGATATTAATTATTACTGTATCTTTAAATGAAAAAGAATAAAGGTAGACACCTATCACTAAAATATCTCTAAATGAATAAAAACTAGGATACAGACCTTAATTAATGTATTAATAAATACCACAGAATAAGGGTAGACGCAGTTCATAAATATATCTATAAAATCTAAATTGAACAGACGGTATCAAATGAAGGGCAAAACTTAGAGACTCTCATATGCAAATCAAACTCCAAGTTCAAGATATTAAAGTAGTTGATACCCCAAAAAAGGTCTTATCATAAGGAATTTACCTGTGGAATATAAAAATCCTAGAACGAACATTCAATAGTAATGACCAATGTTTTTTTTTTTCCAAAAGTATTTTTAAGTGGTAAAAAATTGTTGGTAACGACGGAAAAACCTTCTCATAAGGGATATACATGTATATATGAAATATGAAAACCCTATTACCAATTGTTAAAACGTTTTGGTCAAGGTTCAAGTTTTCCACAAGTAGGTCGACTTCCAAACAAGGTAAAGCTAAAGGCTCAAAATTAATGGTACCCAAGAGAAGGTCTTGCAACAAGAAATATACGAAGGGCATTTGAAAAGTTCTGAGAACTGCTTGCTAAAATATTAACCATTTCACAGAAGTTAATAAATTTTATACCATTGAAAAGAGCTGAAAATTTGCACTTATGTGAACGTCATGTTCTTATATTTATGACGTAATAGCTCCAAAAATGACGTCAGAATCTCGAATGTTTATCATAGTGAAAAGTCTCGTTTTTTGTCTAAATGAGAACATAGAAAAAGTGCTGTCAAAGGTTTCTTTGAAAAGATATACTGGAAGTAGTAAGACTATAAGAATGGTACGGTAAATCAGCAATTGCATATTTTATTTTGTTGCTTGGTTAATAAGCACGGTAATGTTATCTTAGGCGTTCATAAAAGATTTTTATTTATATGAAATAGCTGGATTTTCGGTCTATTATATAGCTCTCCACTATATGAAACAAAACATATTCTGTATAAAACTGAAGTGTAATAATGCAGTTTTCCACAAATGTATCTTGAGTATTAGGAGTCTTTCTGTTTACGAATAAGAGGTACAAAAGTCTTCCCCCGGACAATTTTCTGTGCGTATTTTTTCATATTATTTCAACTTCGGGAATCCAAAACTCCTTACTGCTTTTGACTTTCGACTCAAAAATATAAATCTGAATTTCATTGCCATGTACAATCTTATTTTCTCAGAACTTTTCAAATGTCCCTCGTACATGTGGTATATGAAAGCCCTTGCACTAATCCTTCAAAAATATGGCCAAGGTTAAAGTTTTTAAGTAGGTAAAATTCAAAGGTTAACGTCAAAAGGTCAAAAATTGTTGTACCAAAGGAAACTTCTTATCACTAGAAATACAGACGAGAAAATGAATGATCTAGTACCAACCTAACAAAAATTATGGCCAAGGGGAATTAAGAGGGCATTAATATTTGGAGACAGAAAAAAAGGATATGAAATAAAAGTGTACTATTTTTTTTGTTTTATTCATGACTTTTGATTTTGCGTTATTTGTGAGGCAGGCCATTTCTCTCTATATTGGAATCCAATCTAGTGTACAGCGTGCAATAGAGAAATTTTTGGTGGGAAAAAAATGATTAATTGAATGAATTTTTATCTGTTTTATTACGTCATATCGGCAGTATTTCTGCCATAGTTTGGTGGAAAATTAATACATATATCACATATAAAGATGATTAGTGTTTAAGACTTAATTTGCATATACAAAATCTTATCCCTCATTTACGGATCTTCGGCATAAATGTGATTTGCAATCATTTTCATAAGGCAGAAAAAGAAATGTTGCAAGATAAAATAACAAAAATGTATGAAGAAACAAATGGTATTTCGTACCTTGTTTGTAACACGATATTTGACTGCACGCCAGGTATAAATTTCCTTACGGCGGATTTGAGTCGGGGGTAAATAACTTGACATCTCAATAAATACATATTCTCTCCATCACGAAAAGTAAATTATATGATGCATTGTCGCACTTTGCAAAACTTATCGATAGTTTGAAACACTTAGGTTAATAAAGAATATATTTTGTTACAAAGAAATAAATTCGTAATCAAGGTTTTATTAAGGGTGTACGGGGATTTACCGACCTAAAAATAAACTGTATATAATGCAAGTCATGGAGAATGCATAATCATTATACCTTCAGTGCGAAAAATCATATTTCATAGGAGTACTATTGAAACACCTTCTTTAAATGAAATTGAGCTCATTAGCAATAAAATATTTTTTCATATTGTAGACAAAGGAAATACATCAAAGTGAAATAAGAAATTAATGTCTGGCGATTTTTTTTTATAGCTGTAAGTCATTACAAATGAATATATGCACCTTCTACATTTTTGAAAAACATACCAGAAACAATCGTTTCAAAATTGAAATAATGACACATTTCTTAACGGAGAATGAACCCTCAGACGGAATCATTTTCTAACATATAATGTATACAATGCAAGATAAATGTTGTTGAAGAAATATGTTTATATAGAGTTATCTTTCTTTACAGAGGTACAGTGAGATTGCTCAATTGTCCGTAGTCTTCAGTAAGAGAGCCCTATCTCCTGTAGAATCCACTGTATCCGCCGTAGTGGTTATAGTAAGGATAGCTGTCATAATGATAGGGATAGCCATGGTGTCCGGAGTGGTGGTAGCCTAGAAAGAAATTAAGACAAATAAGGAAAGAAACAAAGACTTTCTGGCAGTTTGCAAAACTAATTAAGTCAATCAGGAATGGTTTTCCCTATCGTTCTCGGAAAAAATATCAGATAAATATTGCAAATAATGAATAAATAAAATAAAATAAAACAAATAAATAAATAAATACATGTAAATGAATAAATAACTAAATACTTTGAAAATTAATTAATAAAACAGAAAATAAATACTTGTAAATAAATAGATAATAAATAAATAAATGAATAAATAAATAAATAAATTATATGATTCTTATTGTTTTTATATGATATGTAAATGTATAAATAGAATAAACAAAGATATTTAATAAATAAATAAATAAATAAATAAATAAATAAATAAATAAATAATATGATTCTTATTATTTTTATATGATATGTAAATGTATAAATAGAATAAACAAAGATATTTAATAAATAAATAAAGATATACATGTACATAAGGACATAATTGTATCGGTTTTGATTATATCTCTTCTATCTTAATGTATGTAAATATAAATTCCTACTATTATGATGATTTCCGTAAGTGTAGGGGTATCTGTAGCTATTGTAGTAATCGTGATAATCGTGATGGTCGTGATGGTAGGCAGATATAGCCACGACAAAGAGAGCGACGAACAAGAAGAACACCTTCATTTTTTGTAGAAAACTGTAAAAAAAAAAATAAAATAAATAAATAAAAAAAAAATTAAAAAAATAATTAAAAAAAAAATCTCAATGATAACTCTACTATAGAACAAAAAGGGAAAATGAAATAAAACATGGAAAAAGTCGTTACTTGAAATTATTCTACAAAGTAAAGCAGATTTGTTACTTGAAAAGCACATTTTGTAGAAAATAATGCCTTTCACATACAGCAAGATGATAATTACAACAAACGCATTCATACCAAAATATCTGTATATTTTTATATTTTATTTCATTATGTTTACTCCCATAAACTTATGTTCACTGCAAAAGAAATGCATCTATCAAATGATAATTCTTTAATCCTATTGAAAAAAGAATTCTGGCAAGAAAATATGTATCATCTTTAAATCGAATATAGAGGCCAAGTGAGCCATTTCCTACATCTCTTAAGTAAAATAAAATAATAAATGTACTCACCTGGATATATCAAGCTGTATCCGAGTCTGAAGGATGAATTAGACGAGTTGCATATTCCTTCTATCCAACTCTCATTTTTATAGTAAACAAAAAAAGTCATTCTTCAAAAGGGTAAGTGGCATGACGCTATTTGTCTTAATTATTGTTATTTATAACCAGGAGATCACACAGATAATTGCTTAATATTCGCATTAAATAAATGGATATGTAGTGTAATTATTTGAATTACTGGCTTTTTCTGTGCAATTCCGGATTAATCTAGTTGAAAAAAAATATAACGTTGAATATAAGATTACGTGAATATGTGACATATGATACGTTTGAATTAATTATGTTCCCCAAACGAAGTTTGGGAACATATTGGTTTCTTATTATTATTATTAAGGTCCTCCGTCTCCACGGAAGACCTTATAGTGATTCTATTGTTTCTTATTAAGGTCTTCCGTCTTCACGGAAGACCTTATAGTGATTCTACTGTTTCTTATTATTATTATTATTATTATTATTCTTATTTTTTGACAAATTTTTTGCACGCAATATCCCGAGAACTATTCAGTAGTTTTTCATCAATCTTTCAGGGATAATGCAATATAAAATGTCATTGTTACATTTGAAAGAGTTTTGGAGAAATTCGCTTCCGGTTCCAAGTTATGGACATTTTTCTGATTTTAAAATGAAATTTTATCCGCGCGAGATCTAAAGAACGGCTAAAGATATGAACTGGAGACTTGTTGGAGAGCATAGAACATGACTTTTAGATATGCGGGTTTGCCTTTTCGTGCGTCGTGAGTACTTCCGGTCGCTACCGGAAGCGAATTAAAAAAGTCAACTTTTTTCAACTTTTACGTTTTTCAATATTTTTCTTTGATTTTAAGAGGGATAATAGAGACTCTTATCCTAATGTTTAATATTTAATTTGTTTTTAAAATTATCCACCAGAAGACATTTTAAAAATATATTTTTTAGACAAATGTTGTGCACACAATATCTCGAGAACTATTCATTGGTTTTTCATCAAACTTTCAGGGATAATGCGCTATAAAATGCCATTATTATATTTGTAAGAATTTTGGAAAAATTCGTTTCCGGTTCCAAGTTATGGACATTTTTCTGATTTTGAAATGAAATTTTATCCTCGCGAGATCTAAAGAACGGCTACAGGTATGAACTGGAGAATTGTTGGAGAGCATAGAACATGACTTCTAGATGTGCGGGTTTGCCTTTTCATGCGTCGTAAGTACTTCCGGTCGCTACCTGAAGCGAATTCAAAAAGTCAATTTTTTTCAACTTTTACGTTTTTCAATATTTTTCTTTGATTTTAGTAGGGTAATATTTCTTTATAGATGCAAGTTACTGAACATAATAGGTATCAGATTCCTTGAGCGTCATATGGCGAGACGTGTATTGTTGCTAAATATTCCAGTCTTTTCATTAATGTGTTATTAATTGGAATAGTCCACTTTGGGGGTAAAGACGAATATAAAATGTGTAAGAAAACAGCGCTGCCTTTATATTACTTGCCCGTATACGATTTGTTATACGTACAGTGTGATAAATAAACATTCTTAGGCTCGAAAATCAGGCTATAGCAACATATTTTTTTTTTAATTTCATTAAAGCTATCACGTACACTTATTCAATTGAAAACACATTTCAAAGAAAAGGTGTGAAGATTTACTCGTGACATTTGGCGCGATATAATGTATCTTGACCCGCCTTTCACAAATGGTCTGATGCAGTTGTGTAGAAGTACGGAAAAAGATTACACGGATATGTCTGTATTTGGAATTGCATAGAATAGAAAGTTGAATGCATAAAGAATAAAGGAAGTAAACACAATAGTTTTTTTTCGTTTTTTTCTGTAACAGATTATTTTCTCTGCTATCAGTCATTGCTAAAACTCAAGTAAAAAATCCGATGTAAATCTACTGCACTTGCACAAAATTTAGCTGGTTTTCATCCTATAATTCCGCACTATAAGAAAAAAAAAATTAACCTACCTGACACTCGTTACTTCAGGAAATGAGTGCAAGGTAAACATCGATGATGGCTGGTACATTGCGCTAGTGTAGTGGTTTTAATATTAAAGAACAAGGTTCACTTAGGGCTTTTTTTGGCCCTGTGAATTTCAGAAAAACTGAAACTGCTTGGTTTTAGTTGACAATGCATTAAATATTATTTAGACCTTTGATGACTGCGTATCTATCAAAAATGACATAATTTTCTGGCTAGCCTATGCATTAAGACGTCATGAAATGCGTCATTTTCCTCGTATCCTGAAAATTTCTACAAAACAGCCAATTTTCAAACCTATATTTCGATATTTAATATAGGATGTAACCTCTGATCTTAAATATGCAACTATTAAATGATAGAACTATTTCTGAGGATTACAAAACCTGTTTTATTTTTTAGATCAGAGGATGCACTCATATTATTTCTCTTCTTTCTTTTTTAAACTAAAACTTGCATCACTTTATTGCATCTCTTTTGCTGTTTTGAAATATGTTAGATTAAACCGGAAATAAAACGTCAACTTCCGGTCTATTTATCGGCAACAGTAAACGACTGAAGTCTAAAACTTTTAGGACTGATAGTCAGTCATCAGTTTATTGAATCGTGACAAAATCTTGTATCGTAGTTACTTCCGGTCGTGACAGGAAGTGATGCAAAAAAGGGAATGGTTAATGGTTAGCACGTTGGATTTTCAGGCTGACGACCAGGGTTAAATCTCCAGAGTGTCTAAATTTCTTTTATCACTTTTTCAGCTTGAGTTTTCCTTTTTTCAGAATCGGACGGAAGACCTCTCATTGCTCGCAATGAGTTTCTAATTATTATTATTATTATTATTATTATTATTCTTTTTTTTTAGACAAAATTTTGTGCACGCGATTTCTCGAAAACTATTCAATGAATTTCTTTGAAATTTTCAGGGATAAAAGATCTTTATATGAATTTTATACAAAATTCCGTTTTTTGTTAAATTCAGTTCCAGTGCCAAGTTATGGACAATTTCCTGATTTTAAAATGAAATTTTGTCCTCGAAGGATCTAAGAAACGGCTAAAGATATGAACTGGAGACTTGTTAGAGATGATAGACCATGACTTCTACATGTTCGAAATTACCTTGGTTTTCGTCGTCAGTACTTCCGGTCGTCACCGGAAGTGTTCAAAGAAATCGAAAATTTCAATTTTTCTTTTTTTAATCAAATCTTGCATCACATTATTGCAACTCTTTCACATTTTTGAAATATGTTGGTCCCACCGGAAACAAAAACGACTACTTCCGGTTATAAGAGAAAACTACATAATTTGAGCATTTTACTTTCCCATAAATATGTTTTAGAGGTAAAGTATTTGAAATGATTTTTAGATATGTTATTCAGATTGCAAATGTCTATAATAAAGTCAAATATCTTTGCAAAATTCACTTCCTGTCGCGTGTTTTTCTGTCCTCAAAGTGAGAAAATATCTGAGTGAGATCTCAGAAACGGTAAGAGATTTAGATACCAAACTTTTATGAGTAATAG